ACAGCTGCATACATGCATGAACGATTTTACTGAGCACATACTATATGCCAGGCACTGTTCTAGGTACTGGGGCTATATTGGTGAGGGAACCAAACAAGGGGCTTGGAGTACAATCTAGGAGATACCACAAGAGTACCCAGTTGTGCCTCTGTCCCTACCATCTTCTTTAACCGTGCTACATTGCTTCCCTGCTGCCCCGGACCTGTCCCTCTGACCTTAAGTGGGACCACCCCTCCCTTGCTTCTGCCAGTTTCAGAAAAATCCAGAAGTTCTAGTTCCACAAGGGTGGGTTCTTTGTTCACAGCTTGATATCCACCGTCAAGCACATCAGGAATGCTCAGGATCTGTTAGATAAATGTCTGAATGAGAATTATGTTTTCATTGGTATTCACCCCTCCCAAGCCCTCACTCCCTAGTTCAGGCCTCTGCGTTTGCTGCTCTTCCTGATGGGACCATTTATCTCTTTTGTTTTGCTTTTGAGATGGAGTCTTGGCGGGCTGCCCAGGCTGGCCTCCAATTCCTGTGCTCAAGCCATCCTCCTGCCTCAGCCTCCCGAGTCCCGGGACCACAGGTACTCCCCACTGTGGTCGGCTATCTCTTTGGTTCTTATGTGTTCTTTTCCGACATTATGTCTGCTGAGTATCACCTTCTGATGGCTTTGCCAATCCCGCACCTATCATCCCACATGCTGTGCTGTGTGTGTTTTAAGGTACTTTTTTCTGTAAAGAAAAAGAAAAGCAGCCTACACAGAGGTGCACACTATTTATTCACAGATTTACCTGAAAATCACTAGTTTTACTGAGGCTGTGCTGTGTTTGGTGTTGATACGTTATTCGCTCTCCTATTAGTCTCCGGCACTCACCATGAAGCAGAAAGGCTTTCAGGATGCACATCAGCCTGGTTTGGCTCCTTTGTCCTTTCTGCTGTCTAAAATCTCTTCTAAAATCTGAGCTCCACGATGGTAGGAACCTTGTCCCTTTGGCTCACAGCCGGACACAGTAAGTGAATATCTAAGGACAGTGAATATCTAAGGACAT